GTCTTTTTCTGTCATTTAGTTTTGTAGGCTGTTGGTAGTTATTAAAGCAAGCATTTCTGCTATTAAACAACAGAGTGTTGTGTCAATTCTTAAAGCACTAGATTTAAGAACCCGCTTTTACATGTAACAGGGTGAACAAAGCACATGTCCTTTATAACTGCACTTGTGGCCCACTTTAGACATACCTAAATAAATCAATCCACTCTGAATAAAGCATTTGATTTTTAGATTATTTTCCATATTCACCCCATGTCCAGGCTTTTGCTTTAGCTGGGCCTACCATCACATTTTCTAATGAGTCCAAATTAGAAGGCTAGCAAACACTGACCAACACAACCAGTATGTTTGATTAATGCATCAGAGAGCCCAAGAGCAGATACCTGGTAGTAATAAAAGTAAAGTCCTACATCTAGTGAAGGGATAAATAGCACATAAATACAATCAGAGGCAGGGAAAGAAAGTGATTTATCAAAGCAACTTCAGCAATGGTAGTTAACTAGGAGTGCTTACATAAATCACATTTTTCATGCAATCGGGCTCCTGAAAGTGCTCCCCAGTCATAATATAACACGTGTGCATGGCTACAGAGTGTATTTAAAATAACCAATTGCAAAAAAAATTAACCCTCGTCAAATCAGATATTAGATGAAGGCGCTCCAAAGCAGAGTGCCTTAGAGAATTTGTATTCCCTCCAGGGTTAATTTTTTGCGCTTTGTGCAGCTGGGCTGCTACTTGTACCAGCCCAGCCCAGCCCAGCCCTTGGGGCTTGTCAGGGGGGATGTGACGGGGAGGGGAAGGAGCAGTAGACAGCTGCCAGCTGGGCTCGGCTTGGCCAGAGCTGGAGGGGGGGCAGGGTGGAACAGAGCCCCCTCACCTCATGTCCCTCCCCCCCAAAGCTAGCCCAGCTGGGATATTGGGGGAAACCGGGGCAGGCCCATGAGGCAAGGGGGCTCCGTTCCATCCTGCTCCCCACCGCAGCTCTGGCCAGGTAAAGCCCAGCACTGCTGCTGCTGCCACTGTCAAGAGGCCTGGGGAGGGTGTGGGGGAAGGGACCCCCCCTCATCTGACAGATCCAGCCCAGCTCCCCCCAATGCCCCAGCCAGGGTAGCTGGGGGGGTCTGCCAGGTGAGGGGGCTCCATTCCATCCCCCCCCACCCCCAGCCCCAAGCCAGGCAAAGCCCAGCCAGCACCTGCTTGCTGCTCCCTCTCCTTTCCCTTCCATCCCCCTCGACAGTCCTAGAGCTGGGCGGGGGGAGATGGGGGGGGGGGTGTTGGCTGGGGAGAGGAGGAGTTCAGCATCCTCCTTGGAGGCTGCTGGAGTGCCTCTGCCTGCTGGCCAGGGCTGGTGTAGGCTGGCCCAAGCCTCCTTCCCCTGACCCAACAGGTGAACATTTGTTGGGTTGGCGGGGGTGGAGAGGGGAGAGCTCTAACTAATGGCACTTTGTGTAAAGCACCATGAGTTAGAGCAGGGCCCTAATTGTCTGTAGGCATGCTAGGTTTCTAAGGGTGAAGTAGCACATTACATTTAAAGCATACTAAATCTGTAGACTGTTAAGTGATGTTAAAGTTAGAACATGTTGTGAGCAGTCTCACATTAAGGATTAATACCGTTAACTGGAAAGCAGAGGCATAGCTAGGAGCCAGGACACTTGGGCTCTATCGTGGCAGGGGAGACCTTGGAATGCTGGAGGACTGCAAATTGCTTGTTTTACCTCTGTGGACCAGACTAAAGTTACCCTCATATAAACTAGTTAGCCCAGGTCAGAGTTAGCCCTTGCCTGAAGTGGCATAACTTTGAGAGACTCAGAGGGCACCCGGCATGAATTACCAAGCTTTAGCATGAAGACATGCACTCTTATAGTGCCATTAGTATCATCTAACATGTAGCTTCACCTTTAGAGTGGTCTCTCTTCGAACCCTTCTTAATATTATTCTTTCATGAAACCAAGCTCAGTAGCTGCCAGAGGGAAGGCTGAACTGTGCACACAGGGCTCGAAGGGGCAATATGTTCCACAACACCCAAAATTCTGAGATAACATGGAGTCATTCTGGATCCAAATGCCACTAGCGCTCTGAGTTCAGACCCAAGGAAGTGCCATCTTCCCCTTGAGCTCCTTCCCCTCAGTTGTCCCTATCTGTTCTATTACTTCAGCTACTTGTACACAGTTCAGCACAGGAATCATAGCTGCAATCCTGGCACCAGCAGGGTAGTGGGAGTTCTGCAACTCAGTACAGTGGGACTAGAATTTCACTGTAAGCTTGTACTGCCCTGAGCACATTTTGGAGGCTCCTGTAATATACGGCATCCCTTTTGTGCATCTACTCAGGTTAGCTTGAACATTTAACATCATTTAATTTCTTTCCTTTCTTATGTGGAGATTAAGGGACTAATTCTGCCACTCTTGCCTACATTCAGTTGCAGTTATCCTAAATGAAGAATATTGCTTCTGTCACTTGAAACAGGAACAAGAGCAGGCTTCAGTTCTGCAGGTGATATTTTTCAGCACCAACAAATCGTCGAACAAACTCTAGCCATCACATCACATCACGCCACACCAATGCTGCTTTTTTAGCCACCCCAAAACACCAGAGCACTCTATTCTCCTGCATAAAAGAGCAGCAAAGTCCTAGAAACACCAGGGTAAATCAAATGGTGAAAGAGCATTCTCTTCAAATTTCCACCAGTATAAATTAAATGATAATTTGGCCCATTCTACATAAATAGTCAATCTATTCTCTTTGATTTAAGTATGTACAATTTCCATTGGAACTACTAGGATACAATACAACTGGACAAATCCCTGGATTTCCAAGCCAGCAGAAACAATCCTGTGCCCAAGGGGAGACAAGGCAAAGAGAAAGTAACTGATGTAACTTGCACAGTTACTGCAACTGTGGCTAGGGACAGACATTACACATAAATTGGTTTAAGTGATCAGAAACTGGTTTAAACCTGTAACAGAACAGATGCTCACGTGTGCATAATCCAGTTAGAAGATGGTTGAAACTGGTTTGAAATAAACCTGGTTGAATGTAGTATCAGACTTAACTGATTTAGCTCCAACCAGTTTATTTAATGTCTGTGCCAGACCCCTTGCTGGTTTAAGATAAATCAGGTACCCCCAGCATCCTGGAATGCTTTCAGGGCTGGGCACAGTTCTCTGCTCCACAGTAGGGCTGGCTCCTCCCCTTTGCTCCCTGGCCAGAGCTCTGGCAAACTTGCAGGCACAGCAGGGTCTGCCTGGCTTCCCACTGCCCTACCCACGCCCTGCTGCCCAAGCAGAAAATCCCCCCTTCCCTCCCTCCCATCTCCCACAGCAGGGACCCCAGCCCCATGGACCCTAGGCATGTGGCATGCTAGCTAATGCTGAGAGGTATCTGTGTGTATCTCCAATTTTACTGGGACAGGCAGACAAAACAGTGACTGCTTAGGGCTGTTTGGAGCTAATCAACAGGTCAGCTGGTAAGCTGTTTAAGAAGAGTTTGAAGTACTGGAGAGACTCTATTGTTTTGCTGATGAGGTGATAAACACTATTAGCCTCCTGATGGCTTGCATGCTTGTCAGTTTGCTGCAGACAGTATAAAGAAGGAGGGAGGGAGATTGAAAAGCTCCATATCTTCAACAGATGCATACATTGCACCCCTGCCCCCCCTTGCCTCAGAGTGCTAGCAGGGGCCTGGGGTCTGGTAACACTCTTGCCCCTTGAGCAGTAAGTGGGGAAAAGCCTGGGATGTAGTATCAGACTACTATCAGGCAAACCTCTCTAATCAGAGGCCCGCTGGGGCCTGGCCATGCCTCCCCTGCCCCTCAGCTCAGCATAGCACAAGGGAAGGGAGGGCTGCTTTAGTGCCCCCCCAGCTTCTAGCCTGAGTCACTGCAAGCATGTGCCTGAATTTCCTCAGTCCAGAGAGAATAAATGTGCAGTTGCAAACTGATTCAATCTAGAGTAACCTGCAAAGATTGTATCAATTCAGGCTCATGCTTTTTGAATGTCGGTCCCTAGACTGCACGTACAAATAGGGAAACCAGGCAGTCAAAGAGTCAGTGTCATGTAGACAGGGCTCTACCAGGGAAAAATCCAGGGAGTAAAACCCCCATAGATTCCAAGAAGCTATCCCCGCCAGCTGCCTGATCCTACATTTCTGATGCACAAAACTTCCTTGGTTTTCAATGGGAACATGCATAAAGTTACAAAAACTGAACTTCACTGTAGATATGATACAACACAATTGGTATGAAGAACAGTGGTACTGTTGGTACCACAGATAGGGACAACCAAGGGAGAGGTGCCCAAGGGGAAAATGCTTTGGTATGAAGAACAGTGATGTTTATACTGTTTCCACAAACTCCATGCTAATAAAATATAGCCTCCAGTTATAAGCAAGAATCTCAGTGCTTCTTGGGTCAATTATTCCCACAAGAGACAGACATTAACAATACCCCTTTACTTACTGTTTTTTTTTTTCCTTTGGATATATTATGTGCCATCAGCCTTAAAAAAAAAAATGCTTTTGTTAAACCAAGGCAGACAAGGTTCCTTGGGTGAATTTGATATCTTTTATTAGACCAACCCAAATGGTTGGAGAATAGTTATTAAGCAAGCTTTCGTCAACTGACAAAGGGTTTTTGAACCCAAAAGCTTGCTTAATAACTATTCTCTAACCATTTGGGTTGGTCTAATAAAAGATATCAAATTCACCCAAGGAACCTTGTCTGCTTATGTCCTTAGACCAACACGGCTACAACCCAAACCTTTGTCAAACCAAGGCATTTAAAATCCCCCATTCAGATTACTTGAATGACACAAAAGAATTTAACTCACTATTTCTTTTGCACTTTAAAAACAGGGGAAGAAAAATTAATTGCTCTTGCAACAAAAGTCATCAGAGCACTTTGTCCCTCTAGTATCCATTATGTACTTTTTTCTTTCTTGAAATGGAGTTAAAGCTTGAGAGAGAGAGTCAAATTACATTTGCCATAGTATATTTACACCATTTTTCTCTTTTCCTACCAAATAGGTTTATTTCTTTGTCCTTTATGAAAGCACATACAGGAACTGAAAATAGAACGCACAGGACTGTGTTGTTGTATTTAATCAAACTTTTTCTTCCTGCAGCTGGTAACTGGAAATCAAGAAAAATAGCAGTTTGCTGATTTGTTTATGTAATTGACTAGTAATAACACTAGACTACAACATCTTATCTATGTATTTGTATAAACTTCTAAATCCCAATTATACTGCATTACTAGAGAGAGAACTCTTCTAGTTAATTCCCTCATAAGCCTTTGGAAAACAAATGTATGCAAAAGAAAAAAAGCATTTCAGCCCTGAAAATCTAGCAAGCAGTTTCAGAAATGGAAATGATTCAGAAAATAAAATTGGGTTCTTTCCCCACCTTCTCCAAAGGGAGGAAGCTAATAGCAAGATAATAACCTTTAAGTGCAGTAATCAGCACTCATTTATTGAAGAGCGCAGAAAGTAATAGAACACAAAATTCCTGCAATTCGCTTTTACACATAGGGCCTCATGGAAATTTGAACCACTTATAATTACGGCCAGAGTTTAAGATGTACACTTAGCTTCTGCATGAACACCTAAATGATGTGTCCAGCTGGATTTTCAAAAGTGCTTAGCAGGCGGCTGAGTAATAGGAACTGGGGAGGGCTGAACATTTTTTAAAATCCAGCCACTTGGTTTAGGTGCTTGATAAGGAAACTTCAGTGTAGGTTTCTTTTCAATTTTATTTAGTTATTTATACACCTGGATTTTATTTGTTCATCTTTTTTACTATTTGTTTTGGTTTTAGGAAGACATTCTGTGTTTCTCTCTTTTCAGACAAAAACACTTCCTGCTTTCTAAAGCAATATTTTGTTTCCCAGCTATGCAGCAACCATAATTTTTAACCAGCACACTCATGCAGGTTTTTACAGTCTCCACTTACTCCCTAATGACATAATGAACCTCCTAAAGCAGTCTTGTGGTTTCCACTCCCTTCCCAACCTCTGCTGAAGGAAGATACAGTATTTACTGTGCTGTTTAACATGCAGGATCCCCTCCCACCTGCAAAACTCTCACCTAGGCAGCCCAGTAGAGCAAACTACTTCTCTGAAAGTCAAGACAAAGCTGCTACAAGAAGAATTTCTGCAGAACTACAAGTCTTAACATAATTTACAATATCTCAGATGCTTTGTGAGTGAGATCATTGCTGGGCACAAACATTTTACATTTGAGAGCAAGCTGCAGTTTTAGCAGAGGAAACATTTTCTTCTACTTACTCCCTGAAGCTCCTGCCACAACCGTGCAGAGTAAAATGACTGAAGGCAGCCTCATGATCATCCAAATCAGCTCCTTAGCTCAGGGCTAACAAAACCACATCAGTCCTCCTCCCAAAGGCAGCTCTGAGCAGGGAGTGAAAGAAAACTTTCTCCACAAAGCAGGAGCTGACTATTTCAACTCCCCTCTTCCAGTCAGGGGAGGGGCTGCAGGGGAGCGTGTGTGCACAGGGGGAAAGAGGGAGCCATCTCAGCCACTCAGAGGTCTTTGATAAAGTCTGAGACCTACTGCCCCCCTACCCAGACAAAAAAATATTTCTAACCTATTAGAAATAGCCAACCCGGTGTGGAGAACACTGGAGTATTTGGCATCACAGAAAAACAGAGTGTGGTGCTGAAATGCAGGTAAAAAGCATAGTAATCATCCCCTGCAGTTTTAACTAGAAGAACAGAGGAGAACATGAAAAGGGTCTAGGAGAGGTGCCTCCCTTGGGAAAAGAACAAATAAGCTTTTATCCTCCTCGCTTCCAGAGCACAGCAACATCCTCTTAACCACAGACCCACTTCTCAAGTGATTGAACATGTGCCTAAAAACACACAAACACTTTAAAAAAAGAACCGTTAAGGTAGCTACTGGGTTTATGACACACTGGATATGTGGTTACAGTGTTCACTAGCCTTCTGATGGAGATGAAGTCCTTCCCGATTGGACCTGCCTTGAGCATGCTGTTTCCCTTTTCACAGAATCATAGAAAATTGGGGTTGGAAGGGACCAGGAGGTCATCTAGTCCAACCCTCTGCTCAAAGCAGGACCACCCCAACTATATCATCCTAACCAAGGCATTGTCTAGCCAGGTCTTAAAAACCTCCACAGATAGAGTTTCCACCACCTCCCTGGGAAACCTCTTCCAGTGCTTTACCACCCTCCTCGTGAGAAAGTTCTTCCTAATATCTAACCTAAACTTCTCTTGCTGCAACTATTCCCGTGTTGACTGCCGGTAAGTGTTATAAGACTCAAGGCCCTTCCTGACTGACCCTCGGCCTACTGGCAGTGGTATGGTGGGACCTAGAATATGTCACCCAGGTATCCGGTAGCTTTTTCTTTTCTCCTGCTACAACTTTGATGTTATAATACTGGGAGCCAGTTCCCTCACAGGTGACCTTCCTGACCCAACATCCTGACTTCTTCATGGGGCTCCAAAACCTCCCTTTTACCCCACCGAACCACTTCCAGCCTTCGAAAGATGATCAGTGCCTAGGGCTTACTAGTGTTGCCCTGTTGGTATGGGTCAAAATAGCAATCTTTGGTGGCAGCCTGTGACAAGGCCGCTTTCTGGCCCGGCCCTTTCCTTCTCCTACAATCCCAGGTGGCCTGTTCATGTTCAGACCGCTTGAGGGTCCTTTCCTTTCTTTAATCGCAGCAAAAATACATAACTCAATCCAAAACTATAAGAAAAAATGGCAGCAGCTGCTGCTATGTTTCTTAAGCCCTCTTTTGGGGTGGTCACTCACTAGTAGAGCCCGTTTATCATCAGTCCAATTCACTACATTGGTCTTTGCCACCTGGGGACAAACAGTGTTTATCTCTTCATTGACACTGTCTCTTCATTGGCTCTTCATTGATCACTGTCCCGTCACTATGGGACACTTACCTGCTGGCTGCTGCCCTTCCCTGCCCCAGACGCTCTTTCCAGGGGGTTAAAGTCCTGGGGTACAATCCCAGTGCATCCTTTTCCTCTGCAAAAGGGGAGACACCCCAAAGCCTGGGCCCCCCCCACCCTATCCGCAGCCTCCTTGGTCACGTCTGACCTATTATACACATGTTGTCTGTTTTGGCTGATTTAAGCCATTTCAAAGGGGCGTGATTGGTTATTACTATGAACTTGCATCCTAACAGATAGTACCGGAAATATTCTATCCCCCATGTAGGGGCCAAGCATTCCCTTTCAATTGTAGCATACCTTTTCTCTGGTTCATTAAGCTTTTCACTGGCAGAAGCTACCGACCTTTCAGTTCCCTCAACCCTTTGGGAAAGTACTGCCTTTAATGCTTGTCCTGACGTATCCCTCTGCAGGACAAAAGGTAATGAAAAATCCAGTGTATGCAATATCATATTCTGGCACAGGGCTCTCCACTTCCTTGAAGGCCCTTCGTTGCCCCTCATCCCACCTAATTAGACCATTCCCCTTTCTCTTAATAGCATTTGTGAGAAGAACTGTAAGTCCTGCAAAAAGAGAGATAAACCTTCTATAATAACTGGCCAGGCCTAAGAACATGCACATTTGTCTGAGGGAATCTCGTAATTCTTTATTGTCTCCACCTTGTTGATTAGGGGCTTAATTCGACCCTGGCACACCAGGAATCCTAAATACTTGATTTCCAGCTGCCCCAACATACACTTCCTCAGGTTAACTCTTAAACCCATCTGGCTCAGTTCCTGCAGCGCTGCTCATATTGCTACCAGGTGCCAGGCTCAGTAGGCACGTCCCCACGAGTGCACATGTGCAGGGGCACACATTTCCCATGGGACAAATGCAGCAGCACATATTTGTCCCACTGCTATTTGTCTCTAGGCACGCCCCTGCACACATGCTCCAGTGCATGGCAAAGGGACCCAGGTGCCATAGGGGAGGCAGGGATTAGCACCTGGGCTGGGCCCAGCAGCCTTACCTGGGGTCCTGGGGTCAGCAGTGGCACTGAACTGGCTGCTCAGAGCCTGGTCAGCAGCCAGAGCATGGCTATTGCTAGCCAGGCTCCAGTTTCTGGCGGCACATGCTGCTGCCACGTACGCCACATCACTTCTTTTAGCAGCAGGTTTTTTACACTGTGATCTCTGGGTGCACATGCCATGTTACACTGAGCGTATGTGCCATGCACTGCATGTGGTTTGCGACGCCTCAAAAAGGCTTTGAGCACCGCAAACCGCACATGCACACTCATGGGCATGTGCCTAGTGAGTTCATAGTAAATGATTCTATAGCCAATTATCTCTTGGACTATCATCAAAAACCAGGGCAGGCCCTAGACGGTAAAACTAGACTGAATTTGCAACAAAATTGTTTTAGTGTAACATCAATTTTTGCTTTTTTCCACATGAATGACGTTGCCACTTCTCCACAAGTCTGACTTCATACTATGGAAAAGTCGACATACTAAACTTCATTTAGGCTGTTACTGAATGGTGTAATAAGACCAAATTTCAACTGAAGTGGGAATTTTGTTTGTGGAAAGTTGTCAGTATCGGGATTAGAGCACTTCTGTATTTGCTTGACTCTCCTAAAACCTCCAGGGCCCAACATCAAGTTACACAGCAGTAAGCGTACATTGGATTCATGTTGTCCAGCCCAATCCTTGTACTAATGAGAACATTTGTGACATGCAAGCAATGCCAAAATAAGCTGATTTTTAAATGAAGTAGACATTTTATGTTTTTCACTTGAAGGTGCTGATACCACATACAGCATCAATGACCTGACACAGCAAAACATGGAAATGTCTGTTTAATGTTAAGTATGTGAGCAGGCTCCTTAGGGCAAAGAAAGTGCTTACTTAACTCTAACACCTTTCCTGGAGCAGGACCATAATGAGCATTACTGGAATTGTACCCTTAACTTTAATACCACAAACACTACTGGACAGTAGAACAGCCTATAGCTAGGCTGCAACAATCATGGCTAATCATTTGTCAGACCTATCTGGGTCAGGTAAGAAATGCTTTTCTTTACATTTGCCAAATTTTGTCATCTTTCTCTTTTAAGAACATATTTCATTCCAACCCCCACCCATGAATTTTCTGCATTACTATATTGCAAACAAAGAGTAATGTTGTGATGTATTGAGTTTAAAGCTAGAGAGGGCTGTTAGGATCATCCTGGTCTGACAAAAGCAAGAGAATTTTATCAAGCCTGGTAATTTGTAGCTGAGCTAGAGGAGATGTTTTATAATGAAATGATAGCATTTACAGACACATCTATTTAAAATGACATTTTCTAAGTTTCTGTGGGTGCCTATGAACAAGCACGGAGGCTGCTCCAACGCGCTGGAATTCTGGTGCGTCAGAGCAGCTTCAGTTACTCAAGTCTGCTGGAGCATGGCAATTACCGCTCCAGCAGCCTCCTGCATCTCATGTATAAGCCTCACTGTGCTTAAAAGTGGCAGCAGGTGCGCTTGAACTAAATCTCATTGAACAAGCTTTAGTTCAAGTGCCACTTCCCCCATTTTTAAGCATGGGGATGCTGAGACGCGGCAGTGCTTTAACTAGAGCGGTTTTCTGAGCTGCATTAGTTAAAGCACCACCTCCCCCCATCCCTGGGGCACATGTAAAAGTGCCCTATCTTTTTTAGCAATGACATTATAAAAGTAATTGCTATGAGTACTACAAGAATCATTGTGTTGTAGGTTCATATTTTTTACTGTGTATATCATAGCCTGTCTCTTATGGTTAAACTCTCATTCTTAAACTACAAGCCAATGAGCTTTCATGAAGGGTTCAAGGATACAACATTACCATTTTTAAAGGTTTATATATGAAATTGCAGATTTTGGGTGCCTGTACCTGTGTGTGGAGACTGCTCCAATGCACTGTAATTACAGTGCATTGGAGCAGGCTCAATTAATCAAATCTGCTGGAGCGTGGCAATTACTGCACTCCAGCAGCCTCCTGCATCTCATGTATCAGCATCCCTGTACCTCAAAATGGTGGTGGGGAGTGCTTGAAGTAAAGCTCATTGAACAATCTTTAGTTCAAGCGTCCCCTCTGCCATTCTTAAGCATTATACGAGCAACTGATATACAAGATGCAGCGGCACTTCAATTAGAGCTGCTCTTGGAGACGCTCTAATTAAAGCGCCACTCCCCTCCTCCCTCCCCACTCCCAGAGTACATGTAAAAGTGCCCTTTGGTTTTAGTCTGGCAAATTCTCATAGACATACTTCAAATTAAGTACATGGAGTCATCGCTTTGAAGTATACAGAATTACTTACATACCTGAAGTTAGGCACATCTTAAACACATATAAGATCATGTCCTAGGCTTACATAAGGCATTAAAATGTTTCTGTCGTCTTTGGTTTTGGACATCCCCAACTAGTCACACTACTAAAGATTCCAGAAG